AGACCTGAGAATCAAACCCACAACCTTCAGGTTCACCTTCGGGTTGCAAGTCCGACTCGCTATCCATTAGGCCACGACTGTGACTCATATAGAAACGGAAATTTCTCACCATTCAGTAACACTAGTGAATCCCCTCAGATGAGTGGGGCATTATACAAAACGTCTCCCAGGTTATATAAAGTTATACAGTTGCCTAAGCTTAGGTGCTTCTATTACTAGATTATCTGGATGAGGAAAATCTTCATAGCCGACTCTTTCTGTACCATGAGGAAGCAGAGCTATGCAATATGGTGATACATACTGTAGGATGATAGAAAAATGTCTATTGATAGATATCGTCTATATTGCCAATATTGCAAAAGCCACCTTTCAGCAGCCGATTTACATCACTAAGGTCGGAGCAAGGAGCTACTAGTGTTCTGGTGTAATAAAAACAAAAACAAGCATGGAGGAGTGTGACACAGATCGAAACTCTCCACAACACTCTGACACAGAACAGACATCAGCCCAACTAAAAAGAGGAATGTGCACCTAAAAGGGGAGGTACTTCTCTCGTTTGGACGTGGTTTGGATATAACAAATCAGACACTGACCAGAAAATGGTCAACTGTAAGGTATGCCGCAGACCAGTCATGAATGCATGAAGTTATTTCGTAGAGATAATTTTTTCATCAATTTTACAGAAAACGCAACATATCTAAGAAACATATATATACGATTTTTCTTATCGTCCAGCGCTATAAGGAAGCATGTGATACCTGATACAGCATCTGGTGGAAGATCCTTCTGCTTCTCAATCTTGGCCTCCAGTGAGTCAGTGCAGAACTGAAAGCCATGCTCTGCCAGCTCATTCCTATGAACAGTGAAGCTAACTGTTAAACCACACAAACCACATTTAATGTAAATAAAATCTGCTTTGACTTCATCACCAGTCGATAAGGTATAAAACACGACAGAACGTGCTGTTACAGGAAAGTAATCAGTGGCACGGTGGTGTGACGCATTACCACTCCAAAGTTGACCCATTTATTATCCCATAACAGCACGTCCTGAAGTATTTTATTCCACTTCTACTATAGCAATTATACAGCAATCGTCCAACGATTACGAAGGCTAAGGTCACCTCTTGCATTTGGGGGAAAAGAAAAAAAAACCCAAAAACGTTATGACCACTGTATTTAATCACTTATTTCTGCAGATAAAGAGAAAAAATGTCCAGCAATCACAAAATGATGGATAATTTAGAAGCAGCTCTAAAGATTTACGTGATATTATGGGTCATAGCACTTTATGAACACAGTCTATATCCTGACTTTACTAGAAACTCATTAGAAAGAACAGGCAGAACTCAACGGCAATGGCGTCGTTGGGGATGACACCACCAGACTACGACTTCCTGAACATGAACATGTAACTGTAAGTACCATGTCTGTATGAGAGACAGCAAGAATGGTATTTAAGAAAAACTATTTCAAACATTTGACCTTGACCATGACCATGTTTGGATCAATGCCAAGATATAAACAGTGGTAGCAATGATAATAAGATAATGTAGGATTTGTATGGAATTATCATTGCAATATCTTATTTTTGAGATATTGCACTAACAAGAATTTCCTGCACACAGACTGACATACAGATTGACAGGGTAGATGGCAAATAAATAAATAAATAAAATCATAGATAGCCATAAAACAGGTCTTGAGTTCTTGAGCATGAACGTGTACGTAACTGTATGAGCTGTATGAGAAACAGGAAGGAAGTTATTCAAGAAAAACCATTTCAGACATTTGACCTTGCTGTGGTTTGGATCAATTCCAAAATCTAAATCAGTTCATTCGCTGGTTACAATGATAATTCCATGCAAGTCCTACAAACAATCAACCCGTCATTCTTGAGATATCATGCTAATAATAATCTCGGACGAATGCAAGGACGGACGGACGCAAGGACGGACCGACAACCCGGAAAACATAATGTCATCAACATCTAATGACACAGGCATAGAAAGTGAAAAGAAACAGCATGATCTCACAACTAGATTAAATTATCATTATAATTACAGTCAGTATAAATCCCTACCTTATTTTTGCATACTCTCCTATATCATGATTCATGATTATAATGTTTTGTAAATAAATTCATGATTCTCTAATGTGATCTTATCACCATGTATTACGCAAACATCCAGGGTCACAGGAAAAAGCTGTTTGAAATTTGTTTATCCCGTATTGTTTTATAGTTGTCCGGATGCAAGAATTGACGTGTAAGTATTCTGTTCCGGACGTCATACTGAAAAACGAATCTGTTCAAGTAAGTCTCTAGGAGTTAAAGCAATCCACTGTTTTGTGTTTTTTCTGTAACACAAAACACTAAACAGTTTAAAATCCCTTCTTTATTTGCAGTAAATGGAATAGACGAGCTTGGCTTTAAGAAAGTAGACTATACACTACATCATGAAACAAATAAAAATACTCACTTGTTTTGAGTGGCATAGATGCTGGCCAACTTCAGGGACATTTCAATGACTGCGTTGTCATCCTGTTTAAAATAAGCCATTCACATTAATGTGTATATATATATATATATACACACACACACACACACACACACACACACACACACACACACACAGTACTGTGCAAAAGTCTTAGGCACCCTATTTTTTTTTTTAGTACAAACTTTGTTATAGATTTTTATTTCATGACTTCTACATTATTGATTCAGTACAAAAACATTTTAGAATTCCAAACTTAAGTTTTCCAGCACAAAATTAAATGTTACAGAAAAATATTTGTATGTCAGTCAAGAAAGCAGCATATTACATAAGAGACACTTTTCAGACAAAAAAACATAATGAAGGCTGCTGGGTTTAGCTGCAAAAATAAGAAGCGAGTGTGAAAGTCAAAGTCTCCAGAAGAACTGTAGCTGGTTCTGCAAGATGCTCAGTAAAACTTACAGCTCATTTCCTTATAAAACTGCACAAATTGTACCTGAGACTACTATTTTTTTTTTAAAGCGAAGGATCATCACACCAAATATTGACTTTCTTTCATTTATTACTGTTTACTGCTCTTTACAGTATTTGTTAATGTAGAAACATTTAATTTCCTTATTTTTGAAGGCACCTTTGCCCTACAGCATTTCTTTGCATGTGCCTAAAACTTTTGCACAGTACTGTATATGTGTGTGTACATTTTTTATATATATATATATATATATATATATATATATATATATATATATATATATATATATATATATATATATGAAAGAATTAAGAATATTTATCTATAGCATTTGCTCAAAATATTATACACTTTATAAGGAACCAAAGAATGTTCTATCAGCACATATAGAGTATGCCAAACCTTCATAAACATTCTGTAGAGTAAATATCCACATGGATCGACAGACATATTAAAATAGATTTTTAAAAAAACCAAGACTAGCACACTTGTAGTGTCTCACCTGTGGTGTTCCTCCGGACAGCATGAAACTCATTGCAGCTTTAAACAGTTTCTCAGCCTACAGAGGACAACAAGAGCACCGGGGTCATATACCTACTCCTTCCTGGAGGTCAAAAGGTCAAGAGTATACTTCAGGGCGTAGAGAAGGGAAAAGTCCCTCTCACTCTTACTCACATTGTCCAGCTCACCTTGAACAAAGGCCAAGTTGGCCATCTGTAGAGAAAGAAAGCTAACGTTATGACAGCTTCTGGCACATTCTGATTGTAGGTTAGATGAAGTCCATAATGTGAGAGTGAACTAAGGTGAGCAGGAGAGCTACCAGGCTGTAGGTGTAGATAATGGCGCCGTTGTTGTGACTCTGATGGGCGAGTCGAATTGCTTTATGTAAGAAGCCGTTTGCTGCATCCAGCTCCCCGAGCATCATGCTGTACTGTGAAAAACATAAATGTCTTCTATTGTTTGATTTTTAAATACAACTTGTAAGTACATTATGTATTAAAGGGTTAAATAAGAAAGCATAACAGCAACAGCGTAACTGTTTCAGATTTCCCTATTGCCATACACTGTTATAGCAGTACATCATCACAATTCAATAACACCAAGTACAAAACTTCATTACACAGAGTGTCCCAAAAGTCTACATACTACAAAAGTCTCCCAAAAGTCTACAAATTAACACTTTTTAGCAAAATGTCTTCTGAATTTTTTTCATACTTAGCCTTTAAGAACGCCTTCGACAAAAGAAGAACATATTGAAATCATTCTCATGGCTGGATCGGGAAGCTGTCGCAAGGTCGCAATGGACTTTAACAGGAAACATGGCAAGCACATCACACACGACACTGATGCCAAACTTATTAACAAATTCAAAAAGATTGGAAGTGTTGCAGACCAACCGAGAAGTGGATGTCCACGAACATCCACTGATGAAGGCACAACCAACGTGGTGCTGGAAAGCACAGTCCCCTATGTATGGAGACTTTTGGGACACCGTGTATATCAACATTCTCCCTGCTGGAACTGATTAAAGCAGTGGACCAAGTTACATAACTGTATTATGTGCAACTCCAGACACTAACTACAATTTTAGAGTTTTAAAATTGCAAATAATCATACAAAATAATTGTGAACACTAAAAAATTAAATAGGCATGCAATTAAAAAATTAAAATCACTGTAGTAAAAGAAGCAATCTTTTAAGTCCATACATATCTGCAAACCTACATATTACACATTGGTAAACAAATGATCACATTTTGGCAAGCGGTTTTTAGTTTCATAAACCACAATACAAGTCTTTTATGGGTCATACTCTCTCTGCTGGTATCCATGTTAGTTCTGTCTGTTATCTACAAGCAGTGGGACTGTTTTTATAATCCCACTCTCACCACTTACTCCGACACTCTCGACCAACCCAACGTTTAAACAATCACGTCCGCTCCTGCCGTTATATTTTGCCTGCGATATTTTCTAACAAGCCTGGTTGGTTCTATTTCACAAAATAAACAAATTAGTCATTTAAACCACAGGGTCCCTGGAGGACTAGAGGTTAGGTCTCTGCACTCTCACAGCTGTGGCCTGGGTTCGATTCCCAGCCAGGGAACCGACCCCAGCCACAAGACAGTGCGCTCCCAGGGCCGGTCCCAAGCCTGGATAAAATTGGGGATGGTTGCTTCAGGAAGGGCATCCGGTGTAAAAATTGTGCCAAATCAAATATGCGGACCAATGATCCACTGTGGCGACCCCTGACGGGAGCATCCGGAAGAAGAAGAAGAATAGTCATTTAAACCGCAGAGACCCTGACCAAAGATTAATGAATAAATGTGCTAAGCATGTTGCAGAGTGTTAATCAATGTAACCTTATTCATCCTGTGAGCTTTATATCTGACCACCTGCCTGAAAGTAACAGCTGCCCACTCCTGCAACCCCAATGCACACCTCTAATATACACTCAACAGTACTTAACAGTAATCTGGAATAGTACATAAGTATGCCAGTTAAGACGTAGCTATTGACTCTGTAAACCCACGATATCTGCAGTCTTGTGTAAGAGAAAGCTGATACAACAGTAATGAGCTGAAAAGAATCCCAAGATGAAATCAGACTAGTTTTTGGTCATTGTTATTTTGTGTTTGTACTAATATTTATATTAATAAAGTTCTGCCATTTCTCCTGTGCTGTTTTCTGAGAGTGTGTTTTAGTCCCTGCTTGGGTCCTGGTCACAGTTTCAAAGCCCTGGACTTGCTTTAATATACTGAAGTAAATTCTGACTTTTTTTCTATATGAGAATACAAGAAATCATGCATATGACAAACAAATGGGGAAAGTCCAAGTCAAAAGTCAGCCTAAAAATTTTTTGTTTTAATATGTGATTCTTATCATTTTCATCTGGCATCAACATGGTAGTTTACCTTTGCTTTCTTTAACAGGAGAATAATCTCATCCTCCATCTTCTGGGCCTCCGTTCTTTCATCTTTACTGCCAAACAGGGAGAACGCTGCAGACAGAGCAAACAGAAAGACAGGAGGATCTGTTTTAATTTTAAAAAATAAACATGCAAACATCATAGTAATAGACATACAGCTCATGAATGATAACAGCAGGTGCTTTATAAAGGTGTGAGTTAAGAGGCTGGGAGAAAGCCTAGCATCTTGAACCAGCAGTCAAACTGAAATGAATTGTATGCATTTCTTTATATAGCCTAATGTGCATTCTCTTTACATAATTATTATGATGCTTCCATTAAGGTAAGGAACAGTGGCTGTGTTGTAAACCACACCAGTCTGCATATTAGTGTGGTTTAGGACAGAGACAATGAGAGACAAAGATTCAGATTGTGGTTATTTTAGTCAAACTGTCTTCAGACAGACCGGAAGTACAAAAGATAAGAGGCAGCACATTAAACCTACATATGGTAATACTGTACAAATAGGATGCACCTTATAGCAAGACCATGACTCTATGTATATTTGCTTATGGTTATGCTGTGTGTGTGTGTGTGTGTGTGTGTGTGGTGGTGCAGAAGCAGTATTACATGTTGGAATGATGCACTTACCCATTGCACTCCACACTGTAAAAGAGTAGCCAGTGTGCTCACTCCCACCTTCCTCATTACAATATGGCGCATTTCTGTGTAATTTCAATGACCTTCTTCGCCTGAAGTCGCGCAGAGGCGATGTGGCCGACAGCTGCTGGTGCTGCTGGTGCTGCTGGTGCGTTTCAGATAAACCTGATACGCAGACTGTCCTTACTCCCTGCCTTATCATCCGTTTCATACCAAGAGCCACGAAAGGACGACAGCTGGAAGCGAGCGCCATGTTTCCTCTTTGAATACGTCATGACGTACGTTGTCACATGACACGCAAGACGCCCTGGTTTTCCGAAACGTGCGGCTTTCTTATTAATATTCATAAAGGAAGCGCTTCCTGATTGGCCGGTGAAGTACTGCGGCTCTGACGTTTCATGTTGTGCACGCGACTGTTGTCAAAAGACGTCCTGAGGAGATTACACTGACGAGGGCTTCGAGCAGGGTTGCCAGGGTGGTGGTTTTTACGGCAGATTTTGGAACGAGGTTACGGGTGGGGAAAGCTAGTTCAAATTGTCTACTGATGGAATAAAAATATTGCAAAGATTTTGAAAGGGAAAATGGAGAGAGATTATGGAGTGGATAATGGTTGTACCAGATGATGCAGGAATCAAAAATGATGCAAAAGATGGAAATCAGAAATGCGTGTGCACTACGGTGAACTTGTTTTCCACTCAAACAAAGAAACACAAGAACAATATTCATTCTTTTTTTTAATGGTTGAACGTCCTGGATTGGTTTCAGGTCATTTTGTGCAGCTTTTGAGATGTAGTTTGGCTGGAAATGTTTCTGAGACCTGGCAACCCTGGCTTGAAGTAAAGTACAGAATATGGCTTTACTCCACCTGGACACCTGACCATCACACCCATATGTGGTTCTTCCATAAACTGTTGCCACAAAGTTGAAAGCACACAAATGTATAGAATGTCTTTGTATGCTGTAGCATTACAATTTCTCTTTACTGGAACTAAGAAGCCCAAACCTGTTCCAGCATGACAAAGCGAGGTCCATGAAGACATGGTTTGCCAAGGTTGGTGTGGAAGAACTCGAGTGGACAGGGTCCTCAACCCCACTGAACACCTTGATTCACTGAATTGAACACAGACTGTGTTCCAGGCCTCCTCACCCAACTTCACTAATGCTCTTATGGCTCAGTGGGAAATTCCCACAACCACACTCCACTATCTAGTGGAAAGCCTTCTCTGAAGAGTGGAGGCTGTTACAGCAGCAAAGAGGGAACAACTTTGGAATGGGATGTTCAAGCATATATGGGTGTGATGGTCAGGTGTCCACATACTTTTGGTCATATAGTGTATGTAGCATAAATCCATTAATTTTTATTATATGGTTATATGTTTTTTTTAAAAAAAAATTTATATAATGTAATAGGAATAGAGAAGACGTATGTTCTCCTATTATAATTTAGCCAGCCAACCAATTCATTGGTAGCTATTTTGTTGATAAGTCTTTGTTACTTACCTCATAGTCTTGAATGTAGATACCTAGCTTGTCCAATATAAGACAATGAAAAGTTTCATTCATTCCTTCATCTTCAGTAACCATTTTATCCTGGCCAGGGTTGCAGTGGATCTGGAGCCTATCCTGGGAACACCGGGGGGCAAGATGGGAGAATTCACACCAGACGGGATGCCAGTCCATTGCAGCGATTGATGTAATTGATTAATCCATTGGTTTAGAGAGTGAACAACTGATATGATTTTGAGAGTTTGGACCAATTGATACCATATCTAATATTTTTTAATAGTTTCATATCGATATAGGTACCGATGGAAGAAGCGGTGAGACAGAAAAATGAAGAACAGAGACCCTGTCTCAATTTGACTTGAAGTGGGTGCCTTTGCCTTTGTCTTCTTACTAGTAGACAAAAGTTCATTTCAGCTAAAAGAGTTGGGGAATTGCATGCTCTGGCAATAAGCTAGCTTTGTATGCGTTGGTGCCCAGATGACTTTGGGATGACATTGTGTCAGAGATTTCTGCCCACATTTAATTAACCCAAGTGTCACTAAAATGTCCTTCAAGGAGTTGAAGGCTGAAGAATGTCCCTTGCTGTGACTGGTATGTTCCCCACAGTGTTATTTAGATCAGACAGCAGTCTTCCAATCCTTAGACCAGCTATCAGGGCTAGACAGGGAAACTCTTTTATCAAAGCACAGGTTATCTAACTGGGTGGTAGACATCATCAAACTAACCTCAGCCTGGACACCTAGCCTGTACTGTTACATGCCACAGAAATGTCTCCTTCTCAAGAGCCTTTTTTAGAGGTGTCCAGCTGCTACCTGGGTATCACCATACTCTTTATCCAGATTCTACAAGGTTAACATCAAACCTCCCAGTTGTGTGAGTGTGATTTCTGACCACTTTCTCAGCAGTTCATTATCTAGGTGTAACAAACTGCTCCTGGAAGATGGGTGGGGTGAAACCAGTTCTAGTTCTGGAAACTAGTAGAATGCTAGTTATGTATGTAACTGTGGCTCTGTAATAAGCTCCAGATTTCCTTGTCATTGGGGACCAATGCAGGCTGGACAAGAAGGTTCTAGTGACTGACTGATGTATAAGGGTGGCATTTATGGTGCATCCTGCATCACATCACTAGGTAAACTTGCTTGAAGATGTCGGTCTGCGTGCACACACACACACACACACACACACACACGCACACACATAAGGTGGTATCCAGTTGTTACACACCAGCCCTGGCAATTATCTGGGGTTTTGTAACTAGCATATTACAAGTTAAAACAATTCCTATTTTATAAACAGTCAAATGTTTTACAGACTCATTCATACATCACAGACAACCTTTTACCGATTTCTTATGATTTATTTATTGTACTAATGAACAGACAGTTACAAAACTTCACATACTGTCGAATGCCAATATTTCATTATGCTGCTTGCAGGAATGGACTTTTTAGTCGTAGTTTATTGTACACTGGGATACACTGAGCATTGATCATGCAGTAGATGCTGGTGAAACAGTGAGGTTTTAAAAGGATACAATCGTGCACAAGAAAAGAGGAACAGCAAAAAGTCTAAATGCACTCACTCTCATATACACTCACCATCCACTTTATTAGGAACACCTGTACATCTACACATTCATGTAGTTACCTAATCAGCCAATCATGTGGCAGCAGCGCAATGCAAAAAAAATCATGAAGATACAAGTTCAGGAGCTTCAAACATCAAACATCAGACTGAAGAAAAAGTGTGATCTCTGTGACTTTGGTTGTGGCATGGATGTTGGTACAAGGAGGGCTGGTTTGAGTATTTCAGAAACTGCTGAGCTCCTGGGAATTACGTACACACCAGTCTCTAGAGTTTACACAGAATGGTGTGAAAAACAAAAAACATTGACTGAGCAACAGTTCTGTGTGTGGAAATGACTTGTTGATAAGAGAGGTCAGAGGAAAATGGCCAGATTGCCAGGAAGGATATAGTAACTCATATAATCACTCTTTACAACCGCGGTGAGCAGAAAAGCATCTCAGAATGCA